AATTTTTTATTTGAGAGGCAGAGAGGGAAAGAGAGAGAGAGAGATCTTCCATCTGCTGGTTCACTCCCCAAGTAGCTGCAACAGCCAGAGCTTGGCCGATTCAAAGCCAGGAGCCAGGAGCTTCTTCCAGGTCTCCCATGTGGGTGCAGGGGCCTGAGGACTTGGGCCATCCTCCACTGCTTTCCGAGGCCATTAGCAGGGAGCTGGATTGGAAGTGGAGCAATAGGGACCTGAACCTCCACCCATATAGGAGGCTTAGCCACAGTGCCAGCCCCTCCTACTTTGAATTAGAGATGAGGATGAGGCTCTTCATGTGTTTAGTGCTCACTTGTGCACTGGTTTTCCTGTGAATCTCTTCTGTTGGCCCCTTGCCTGCTTGCTATTGCTTGTTGTTCCTCTCTTAAAAAATTGGACCGTAAAAGGTCAATGGGCATTAAGGGAATGTGGCTGCGTTTCTAAGCTCTTTGCAGATACAGACTTTTAGATCTGAGTTCTAGAGGAGTTGGCAGAGCCATAGATAGGAATTTCCTGTTTTCTCCAAGTGTTTTACAAATCCAAAGTCTTCGGCCACATCGCCCAGGGTCATCACCCTCACGGCTGCCTTCTGAGGCTGGTCTTGTGGTCTCCAGTGTCAGGGGCTGGGACTGTCCGGCCCACGGGCCACATAAGGCCTGCAGAGCCCCCTGCCCAGGCAACCGCAGACTTGATACATCTAGCAGGCTGATTCTTGGGATGGTCATTTTGTACAGCCCACGCATGATGTCATCAACACCCACGTGGCTTCCCAGCCCTGACAGAGAGAAAGAGGGGTTCAGAGAGGCAAAGAAGCCTCCAGCTGAGAGGATGGAGAGAGACTCCTAAGGGCCTGCAAAAAATCCCCCCCCCCGGGGGGGTCCTGGCCAGCCCACTCTCCCAGGGCGCCTGCGTCTTTCAGGATCCCTGAGCTGTTTCTCTAAGTGGAAAAGTGTTAGCAATGCACAGGGATCATGTCGGTAGCAGCGCTAATGGCTCGCCGCCAGTGGCGAGGGCACTGACTGTTTTAGTTCCCCTCGACCTCCCTGCCCGCCTCCTTGCAGCTACTGCTTCCCTCCTTAACGAGAGAGAGAGTTAACAAAGCCGGGCACTCGCTCCTTTTCTAGTCTCCGTCTGTTCTGTGCAGCCCGGGTCCTTTGTAAGGACACAGAGGTGCTGGCTCCTGGTGCTGGAGGCCGTGCGGCTGTGGAGAGCCTTCTTGGGACAGGAGGCCAGAGAGACGCTGAGGGAGACCAGGGGCCCGGGCTCGTCCTTGTAGCAGAACCGGCTCTGGTCCGGCAGGGACGACCCCAAGCCATCCCCAGGGGCAGAGCCCTCATCACCTCTTAAAGACCCCACCTGGCATTTTTTTTATTTTAAAGATTTATTTATTTACTTATTTGAAAGGCTGAGTGACACACACACACACACACACAGAGAGAGAGAGAGAATCTTCCATCCACTGGTTCATTCCTCAGATGGCTGCAACAGCCAGGGCTGGGCCAGACTAAAACCAGGAGCTAGAAGCTTCTTCTGGGTCTCTGACACGGGTGCAGGGACCCAAGCACTTGGGCCACCTACCACTGCTTTCCCAGGCCATAGCAGAGAGCTGGATCAGAAGTGGAGCAGCCGGGACTCGAACCGGCGCCCATATGGGATGCCGGCACCACAGGCAGTGGCTTTAGCCACTGCGCCACAGCACTGGCCATGGGGATTCTTTATGGTCCTTATTTTTGAGCCTCAGAACTCTTTGAGAAGCTGATGAAGGCAATGAATCTGCTTCCTGGGAGAAGGAAACACACAGATACACAGGCACGCACTCACACACAGAGACACACACACACACAGACACACACAGAGACACACACACAGTCATACACACACAGACACACAGGCACACACACAGACACACACAGGCACACACACACAGTCATACATATACAGACACACAGGCACACACACAGACACACACAGGCACACACACACAGTCATACATATACAGAGACACACACACATTCACACACAGACACACACACAGAGACACACACAGACACACAGGTATGCACACAGACACTCTCAGTCATACACACACAGACACACACACAGTCATACACACAGACACACACAGGCACACACACAGACACACTTAGTCATACACACACACACAGTCACACACACAGACACACAGAGACACACACAGGCACACACACAGACACACACACAGACACACACAGAGACACACAGACACACACAGTCATACACACAGACATACACAGACACACAGTCACACACACACAGACACACACAGAGTCACACACACAGACACACAAACACACACAGTCACACACACACAGACACACATAGACACACACAGTCATACAGAGACACACACAGGCACATACACAGACACACACAGACATACACGGAGACACACACTGTCGCTCCCCCTCTTTGTGGAGGAACGACACAGGACCCTGCGTTGTTCTTTCGTCTGCTCGGCCCTCGCCGGGTTTGCTGCTGGTCTTTCCCAGGTTGGCTGCTGGTTCTTCCCGGGTTGGCTACTGACCCTTCCACCTCCGTGGAAGGGCGGTTCCCCCTGCCACATTCCCCACTTCCGCGGGGGAGCGGCACACCGCCGGCCGGCCGGCTCTCTCGGGGGCTGCACAGGTGTTCCCCTTAGATGTTCCTGGTGCATGCCGTCTCTCTCCTCCTTTATAGTCCTCTTCCACCAATCCTAACTCAGCTGCCCACACGCCGAGTACGCTGCTCTCCTCCAATCAGGAGCAGGTCCTGCAGCTTGTCAAGTTGGTGAGAGGCAGCTGGGTAGAAGCTGTTGCCTCCTCTCCCAGCGCCATATTGTGGGAGAGCAGATGCATAGAATAAGTCTTAATTCCAGTAACTCAGTCCAGTCCGGGTTGCTCCCCACACACACACAGACACACACAGGCACATACACACACAGACACACAAGGAGACACACACAGAGATACGCACGTTTTTGCTTACTCCTTTGCGAGTCCCTTTGCTCCCTGCAGCTGTGCGGAGGAGCTGGGGGTGGAACGGCTGCCCGGGAGCAGAATGGAAGGGTGGGAGGTGGTTTGGGAAAACGGGCTTGTTCTTCCCGTGTGCTGGGTGCTGGCCACATGCGGGAAGGTGGGCCTTCCTGTGCTGGGCACAGAAGCCCGAGAGTTGGGGGGTGTCCCTGGCCCGAGATGACACACAGGTGAAAGTTCTAGAGTGTCCTTTGTCCCAAAGGCTCGAGTGCAAGGTCAAGGGAATCGAGTCATTCTTGTGAAGGAAAATCTCCCAGGGGAGAAACAGACCCCCCAGGATGTGCGTTTGGGGTAATAGTGAGGCTGGGACATCTGGTCACCCGAGCCTCCCAGCATGTGCGAATCCGCTTCCCGCAGAGGCCCAGAGGAGGAGGGCATGTGAAGGGGGCAGGGCCGGGACCCGGGGCAGGGCCGGGACCCGGGGCAGGGGGGCCTGCATCTCCCACTCCCCCCGGAAGTCTGGAGACCTGCAGTCTCCTCCGTGGCCTTCCCGCCACCACAGCGTGAGGAATGGCTGCGACAGCTCTGCAGTGAGTGGGGCCGGCCGCCTGGCCCAGGGCTTCCGGGGTGGGGGTGAGTGGGAGAGAGAGGGATCCGTGGAGGCCTTCGCAGCTGGGGTGGGGAGGTTGCAGTGGGGAATGCGGGATGAACCCCCCACAGCAGGTTGGTGGAGGTGGGGCATGGCCAGGGCAGGGGGGTCATGGCCAAGGCCAGGCCGGATGAGACACACACAGCGGATGCCAGTGTGGGTGAGAAATATGGAGGCCTGGAAGGGACAGTCTTCCTCCAGAGATGCAGTGGCATTTGCAAAAACATGTGTCCAGCCTCCACCGTCAGCCTGGCAAAGACCCCTGTGGGAAGGCGTAGAAGGGGGGACGACCCCGAAGGTGACTGTGTTTCACCCTGAGCTGTCAGAGGAGCCAGGACATTCCTAGACATTTCTAGAATCAGTTCCCTGCTGACCACACGGAAAGCAAATCCAATGCTGGCAAGCCATTGGAGTTACATTTTGCCCACAAAATGGGCACCTGCTACCCGTGGTGTGGGCCCCCCGCCTTTGCTGGTTGATTGGCTCTTTTCATCCCCCGGGGTTGTCAATTACAGCATGCATGGGCTCCACGGGACCAGGCATATCTAGTCTACAGGGCTGGTTCACGTGGTGAGGGCGGCCCTCTGTGGTTCTGACATATTTCCTGCCCAAAGCCAGAGCTAGCTTTGCCACCTCCAATGGACAGCTAAGAAAACGGAGGCTGGGTGAGGTGAGACTGGCACAGCAAATTCGAGAGCCAGGCTGTCCGATTCCTGGAGCAACGCCTGGGTGGGTGAGGGGCCCAGGCAGATGGCAATCTGGGGGCAGAGCCCTAGATCTCACTTGAGGCTGGTACATGGAGGTCAGTCCAGGATACCCAGCTTAGGGTACAGGCCCTGTGCTCCCTGAGTCTCGGAGACCCTCCCACAGAGGGGGAGCTCAGCGGTCGCCAGGGCTGGGGTCCAAAGCCACCCTTTTCCCAGTAGAATCCGGGATGACAGCAATCCCTCCACAGCGGGGCCGCCTCCTCTGCGAGTTACTACCAGGTGGGAGCTACTAGCTCCATTCTACAGATAGGAAGACAGAGGCTGACAGGGCTCGCGGCTTGCCCGAAACCTCGCGGCAAGGAAACAGAGAGTTGGATGTAATTTCAGACTCTCCAGGGCAGAGAGAGGCTGGTGTTCCAGCTGAACCCCTTTTCCATGTCCTGGGAAGGTGAACCCTAAAAAAAGAGCTTCCTGGCTTACTCTTCATCCATACCAGAAATGACAGCACGCCTTCCCACTCCAGCAGAGTAACCAGACACCAAAGTCTGCTTTAAATTAAAAAAAAAAAAAAAAAAACACCCACTTTATTTCTCTCCCACTCCGGGACGCCCATATCCACGCCACGAAGAACACGTGAGACCCGGGCCGCTGCAGGTCACGTGAGCAAGGGTCTTGCTTGCCGGGCAGGGCAGCAGCACCTGGATGGAACCTGAGTTGTGCATCTGAGGTCCAGCTCTGTGACACGGCACGTGGCAGGTGCTCAATGCGTGTGTCATGAATGAACGCACAAGGCGTGTCCTGTGTCTCCACGTTTCTATCAAAGTGGGGGTCAGAAGAGTCCGCAGGAGTCACCTTGTCCAGCTGCCCCTTGTGTTACAGATGAGGTCCAGAGGGGGTGAGTGACCAGCAGGAGATCACACAGCAAGTTAGAGGAATCCCGGGTGCACGGCGGCCACCTCCGCAGTCCAGGGCTCATCCTGAGGTCTCAGCCCATCTGCCTTCGGAGCCAGGGAGCCACTCTGGCTGGAGACCTGAGCTGTCTTTTGCTGTGTGCCTTGCTGCTGGGTCCACGGTGGTTTGGCAGCGGGCACGCTCGTGGAGATTCCTGGGCTGTGGGCTGTCTTTGGATGATGAGGTCCATGTCCCCCCGGGTCCATCTGCCACGTGCCTTCCACTCCCTCCCGCGAGGAGCGTGGCCTGACTGGCGAGAGTGTGTCGGGTCCCTAGGTTGAAGAAGCACAGACGCTGCCCCACGTCGGGTGTGCCGGTGTAAGGAGGTACAGGGCAGGGGCGCAGCTCTGCTGGAGCTCAGGGCCCGGCAGGGGCTGCGTCTCCCATGGGTGCTGTGGGAGTATGGTGATCCGAGCTGGGAACCAGGCAGTGGCCAGCTGATCCTGAGCAGGAAGATACCGCCCCATGGGAGGGGCCAGTCTGGGCAGAGCAGCGGGTGTCAGCAGGGGGCCCTGCCACAGGAGAGGCCAGGAGGGAAAAGTGAGTGGTGAGCGCTGCCCTGGGCTGTCCCTGCAGCTTCCCAGCCTCCCTGCACTCCCTGAACAGCTCAGGGCGGGCAGCGTGGCCGCCTTGTTCTGCTTGATCAACACTGGGTTTAGCACTGGGAGCCTGGTCCTGATCCTGGCACTCAGAGCACCTGTTAGATGTGCCAACATCGCTTTGCGTGTCTTTGAACCCATTTCTGCGCTAGCAAAAGTGAGTCCATGAAGAACCCTGCCAGACTGTGTCACTGGGGAGGGCAAACCTCCCACCAGTGGGTGGGGCGGGGCCGTCTGCTTTGTTAACCGCTCTACCCACAGTGCTTAGCACCTGGAGCCCATTTGTGAGTGCGTGTGGGCTCCAGGTGCAGTTAACTGTTCGGAATTGTTTCCTGGGTGCCAGGCTTTCTCCAGGCGGCCGTCAGCAGACTCGGCCCCTGTCGTCTGAGGCATGAGGTGACTCCGCTGGGCCACACAGCAGGTGAGTACAGGGCTGGGACTCGAACCTGCGCGGTCTCATTCCCAAACCCATGCTCTCCAGCCCGCGTCTCGTACTTGGCTCTGTGGCCTTGTTTTTGTAGGCTGGGACATTTGCACAGTGCTACAAGCCACTCGGGAAGAAAGGAGGGTGCTGTGTGTGCCACTGGGTGAGGACGATGGGGACAGAGAGCCAGCCCCTCGGGCCGGGTCCCTGTCTGCCAGGCTGCCCTGTGCTGTGTCTACGAGAACTGAACCATGTCCCTCTGGGTCTGGCTGGGGTGTTCCTGGATGCTGCCCCCCCACTCCCCTCTCCCCGCCCCCGCCCCGCCCCCGCAGATGACTCAGCCACTCACAGCCTCGCTCAGGGGCTGTGGCCCGCCCAGGCCGCCGACCTTCTGCTTCCGCCACTTGGCTCGCTGATTCTGGAACCAGATCTGTGGGTAGGGACGGGGATGGAGAGAAGTTAGAGGGGTCGTCCCCATCTCTGGTGCTTTCCTGTGAAGAACCTCCCAGGCTGGAGATCCGCCTTCTGAGAGGGGACCAGGGTCACGGCCTCCAGCTGCACCTGAGGGAAGCAGCCAGGGGCAGAGAATTGGGAATGGGGGGAGGGGCCTGTGGAGGGCAGAACCTGCAGGGAAGCAGTTTCCCGTGGAAACAGAAGTTCAATGTCGGAGGCTCGTTCATTTCCAAGGTGAAAAATCTTGATTTTTATGTGACAGCCTCTGAGCGTAAAATACCGTGCAGACCAAATAAGCCTCGCCGGTGGGCTGTTGTCCGCCAGCAGGTCACCAGGTTGCAGCCCCCAGGCCCACCTGGCAGCTCTGGATGGCCCACTGGCGTTTCTCGGTACTCACGAGCGCGCCCTGATAGCCCCTGACGCACGCCCACTTGTACCTGGTAGCTCTGCCAGGCATTGAATTCTGGGCAGGCAGGCACAGGTGCTCCCCACTTAGCTGGAACCTGATGCCCGATGGGAAGGGGAAGGGGAGAAGTCTGAGCCAGGGGTGACCCCTAGCCATAAGGGAAGGAGGTTGGATTAAAATAAAGAGTGGAGTGTTGGCCTGGGCCCTGGCTCAGCTTCTGGGTTAGAGTACAAATCTTTTGCATTTGTTTTTAAAGACAAGTGGAGAGTGACTTGGGAAGCTGCATTGGAGAGAGTGCCCCTAGTCCCACAGTTGGGTCTGCTGGAACTCTGTATGCTAGCCTGGCCCTCACAGCACTGGGGCTATGTGAAGAGGAACTGGGGATGTGCAAAGAGGGGGAGAATGTGCCTGGCTGAGTTTCTAGGGGCTGCTGTATTTCTAGCCAGGGGTGCGGCTGCACACACTCTGGGGTGAAGAGACTACAGATGACAGATTAGGCTCATGGTGCTGCCACCAGGGCTCGGAGCATGGATCCGGGGTCCTTTGCATGTCTCTGTGTGGCCCCCAAAGCACTCTCTGTGTGGTCTCCATCAGGGGTTGGCTATCTGTACTTGTGGGCCAGCTCTGGCCTTCCACTTTTTTTTTTTTTTTTTGGACAGGCAGAGTGGACAGTGAGAGAGAGAGACAGAGAGAAAGGTCTTCCTTTTGCCGTTGGTTCACCCTCCAATGGCCGCCACGACCGGCGCTGTGGCCTGCGCACCACGCTGATCTGAAGCCAGGAGGCAGGTGCTTCTCCTGGTCTCCCATGGGGTGCAGGGCCCAAGCACTTGGGCCATCCTCCACTGCACTCCTGGGCCACAGCAGAGAGCTGGCCTGGAAGAGGGGCAACAGGGACAGAATCCAGCGACCCGACCGGGACTAGAACCGGGTGTGCCGGCACCGCAGGTGGAGGATTAGCCTATTGAGCCACGGCGCTGGCCCTTCCACTTATTTTTGAATGGCCTATGAGACAAGAATGGCTTTCTCGTTGGTCAATGGTTGGAAGAAACCAAAGGAATAATGGTATCTCGTAATGCATGCAGATTATATAAAATTCAAATTTCAGTGGTCGTAAATAAAGTTCCATTGTAACACCCCCGGGCTCGTCTGTTTCCGGATTGTCTGTGGCACGGTGGCAACCATGATGAAAATTGTCACCGTCTGGTCCTTTACAGAGAGGGGATGTCATCTCCTGGTCGGGGTCGTCAAGACCCGTGTTGCCGGGGGCGGGGGCAGAGTGAAGGAGGCTCTGGGACACTAACCGCAGGAGGGGGAAGGCGCAGGAGCAGAGCCCTGATGCGGCCCCATAGCATTTCACCTGCCCAGGACGCCGAGCGCCGTGTAACCATGTAGGCGACCTCGTCTCTGGGAAGACAGACAGCTGGACTCGTCGGATAAAATCAAGGGGAACTCTCCGATGGGGCAGCCCCAGGGGGCTGTGTCTCACCAATGGTCCCGCGGGCACCAGGGCCGGGCTGGGGGGCGGGAGGGGCCGTACCTGCACCCGAGCCTCGGGGAGGTTGATCCTCGCGGCCAGCTGGCTGCGGACGTGCACGTCGGGGTAGTGGGTGAAGTGGAAGATCTTCTCCAGCTCCTGCAGCTGCTCCGTGGTGAACACGGTCCGCACCCTGCGCTTGCTCTTCCTCCCTTCTGCAGGACACACGGGCGGGGGGCGGGGGGGAGGTCAGGGGCCTTGATGTCGGCCCCTCCGTGAGGCTTTTGTGCTGCCGTGTTGTACCCTCTCAACCCTGCTGCTGCCCCTAGCGCGTCTGACCCCTGGCTCCTGGGGCATGGAGCTTTGAAGTATCTTTGCTAAAGTCCTTGGCCTCTCGGCGGATGCCCTCTTGCCTACCCCGGACAGTGAGGCTGAGTCCGGCTTGGAAATTCCTCTCTGCTGCCCGGGAGTCTTCGGTGGCTCCCCCTGTCTGCAGCGGAAGACGATGCACTGTTTGATGCATAGTTGTAAAGACTGCTGCACCGAGTCACACCATGTATCATCTCCCCACCTTATGATCATTGTCCCGAATCCCACATTTTGTGAAGTTAAAATCCCCGTTTCCAAGAAAAAATAGCATATATGTGTATGTGTATAATAGCCACATAGGAAGCAAATGTGGCAAAAAGTTAAATAACGCTACCTTTTCAAATTAGGGCCAGGGGGCCAAGCTGCCACCTGTGGTGCCACATCTCCTACTGTGGGATGTTCATGTCCCTGTTGCTTCTCTTCTGATCCAGCTCCCTGCTAATGCGCCTGGGAAGGCAGTGAACGATGACTCAAGTACATGGGCCCCTGCCACCCGTGGGGAGACCTGGATGGAGTTCTGGGCTCTTGGCTTCAGCCTGGCCTATACCTGACCATTGTGGCCACCTGGGGAGTAAACCAGCAGATGGAAGATATTCTCTCTCTCTCTCTCCCCCCTCTTCCTCCCCCTCCCTCTCCCTCCTCTCCTCTCCTTTCCTCTCCTCTCCTCTCCTCTCCTCTCCTCTCCTCTCCTCTCCTCTCCTCTCCTCTCCTCTCCTCTCCTCTCCTCTCTCTTTTTCCCTATCCCTGTCACTCTGCCTTTCAAATAGATGAAATAAATCTCTAGAAAAATCTTAAAAAGCAAATTCATTAAAAACCCAGGCCTCGTCTGGCCCACCCTCTATTTTCAGATAAAGTTTTATTGGCACCCAACTCTGCCCACGGGTCTGTGTATTGCCTCTGACTGCTTCTGCACGACAGTGGCAGAGCTGAGCCAAGAGGACAGAGAGCATATGGCCTGCACGGACTAAAGTAACTGGCGCCCAGCCCCTTACAGAGGGAGCATGCCAGCCTTGGTCGACCAAGCACAGGCTGAGCTCTATAGCAGCCAAGGCTGCTGCCGGTGCGCCTCCAACTCACCTGTCCAGCCTCTGTTCTACCCAGGACCTGCTACGGCGTTAGTGGGGCCCAGGGAAAGATGCTAGGTGGAGCCCCTTGTTCCAAAAGCAGGAGAGGAGCTTTTCCTTCCTTTCCTAGTCTCTCCACCCACCAGGGGTGGTTTTTAAGTTTCTCTTAGTGTCACGCTCCCCCGAGAGAGAACAGCAATGCTCACAGGGACCCACGGCCTACTCTGGGACTTGGCAGCATGGACGCCTACTGAAGGAACTTGCCTCCACCCTGCAGCCGGGTAGGAGCAGAGGAATAGTTGGCCGAGCCTGCTCCAGGTGGGGACAGGGCATTGAGTCAAGGCTCCAAGGTCCCAGTGGGTGCTTCCCTGGCCCGTCAGCCTTCACTTGGAAAGCACAAATGCAAGTGTGAAATTGTTAAGAAGTTTGGGATGGTGGCCATCAGCGTTCAGTGCCAATCAGAGGGCTTCCTTCTGGGCCAAGGCTCTGCGCATCTGCACTGGCCACACCCACCTCCTCCACCCTCTGTTGCCCCGCACACCTGGCTTCACGCAGGCTGGCCGACACCATCCCTGCAAAGCAGCACATGAGTGCTTGTCCCTCTGGTGTATCTAAAGTGGCCCTGAGTCTGAGGTGACCTCTCCTCTCTTGTCTGTAATTCTAATTCCTACTGGTTCTTCAGCACCTACATCCATTCTCATAATCTCCAATAATTCTTCCCCCATCTTTTTAACCTTGGGTGATCATGCTTACTAAGAGGATCTTTATCCGGCTTGTTAGCTACGTCATTCATTCATCTACATCTTCATTAAGCACATACTTCTTTGTGCTGGTCGCTGCACTAGGCATTTGATGTAGACAGGATGGAGGCATGGCTGCTGTCTGGGAGCCCCTCGTTGTCTGGCGAGGTAGGGGCTACGGCAGGTTTGTATATGACTTAGAGTGAGCTGGAGAGCTAGTTTGATTTTTCTGTATAGAATCATGTCTTTTCTTGGACCAGAACACCTTTTCTCTTGGAAACTCTCCTTCCCACACACCAATAAATAGATATATTGGGAACTGGGTTGGTTCAAGTGTGAGCACCTGAACTGGACCTATTGGTAACCATTCATAGAATAGCTTTTTGTATGGAACTATTCCTCTAATGGTGGCAGACATGGGATGAGAGACTTGGTCTATCAGTCACCATCTCTCCTGTCCTGTCACGCTGCTAAAGGTGTGTGTAGGGAGAAGGTGTGGAGATGACCATGGGGTGCATTTTGGAAGGAAGATATCAGAGTACCTTGATGGGTTATGTCTTGGCTAAGAAAGCCCAGGGACAACTCTTCTGTTTTGGCTTGAGCAAAGGGATGAGTGTGTGTATGTGTGTGTGTGTGTGTGTGTGTGTGTGTAATGATGGGGCCATCAGATGTTCACTTTCAACATGTTAAGTTTCAAGTGCCTATTGGACATTCAAAGGAAGCTACAGAACAAGCAAATACATTTATAAGCTTGGAGTTCCATGAGGAGCTCAGCACTGAGGGTCAGATTAGGACACCATTCGCATACACTTGACCTTTGAAGTTGTGGGAATGGGTGAGATCACTTGGGCAGACAGTGAAGGTGGGACGAGCAGAGGGTCTAGGAGCCACCAGGCAGGGGTTCAGCAGAGGAGAGGCCACCAGCGACACCAAGAAGGGGACAGCTCTGGGGTAGGAAGAGAGTGAGGTGACATGGATGCCCGGTGAAGAAACCCTTTCAGGAAAGAAGGCAGTCAGCTGTGTCCCCGTTGCTGCTAGACCAGCTATGATGGGGACTGAAAACTTGTCCTTGAACTTGACCATGCCAGGCATAGTCACAAACAAGGACTGCCCTGTGTGAAGACCGGGAGAATCAGCCGGTGTTGCTCATAGTTCCTGGGCAGAGTCCAGTGACAAGTGGACATTGGAGGAAGGACCAACCAGGTGAGGATGTGTTTCTTTTCCTGACCATGGACTTGGCAATCCAGTTCTACTCGGACTAACTAGTCTTTGTGATATAATTTTAGGGATTGAAGGAAAGGTATCCACCGTCTCCCCATGTTGCCTTAACTTCTGGGGACAGTGGCGTTCCTCCCAGCCTAGGTGACCACCTTGCTTCTCCTGATTCCTTCCTCATTTTTTTTATTTTTTTTTATTTTTTTTTAATTTTTTTTTTATTTTTTTGACAGGCAGAGTGGACAGTGAGAGAGAGAGACAGAGAGAAAGGTCTTCCTTTGCCATTGGTTCACCCTCCAATGGCCGCCGCGGCCGGCGCGCTGCGGCCGGCGCACCGCGCTGATCCGATGGCAGGAGCCAGGAGCCAGGTGCTTTTCCTGGTCTCCCATGGGGTGCAGGGCCCAAGCACCTGGGCCATCCTCCACTGCACTCCCAGGCCACAGCAGAGGGCTGGCCTGGAAGAGGGGCAACCGGGACAGAATCCGGAGCCCCTACCGGGACTAGAACCCGGTGTGCTGGCGCCGCTAGGCGGAGGATTAGCCTAGTGAGCCGCGGCGCCGGCCCCTTCCTCATTTTTATAAGAAAAGATGCTCTCAGACCATGATCAAGTGTCCCGGCACTTCCTGTTGCAGGTCACTCACATCACGCTTGGAGGACCGCGGCCTTCCAGGGCAGGGGGCCCACACTCACCTGCTGCCGTCTACCTGGACTCTGAGCTTCTGGAGGGCGGGGACTGCTCTTAAGGAGCTGAGTAACTGGCTCCTAGTGGGGGTGCTGTCGATGAATGAACGGGAAACCCGGGAAATCCTGGCTCTCCCTGAATTCCGCTGGACAGAGAGGACACTTTCCCATGATTTGTGTGAAATGTCGTACAGCGGATGTTGCATGTCTGCTGGGACAACCGGTGAGAACCACGGCGCCCACCAAGGAGGGGTGGGGTCTGAGTGTCAGCTGAGGTCTTCTGACTCCTACCCAGGGAAAGTGAAGCCCCCACAAGCCATGCATTGGAGAAGGTGCTCAGTGATCAATGGATTGCACTTGTGTTGGCTTGACAACTAAAGGGACCAGCTAACATCACCGGAGTGTGTTTCTTATCAGTCCTACTGTCCCTGGGTAATAGAAAAAACCCACCAAGCTTGACGTCAGAAGACCTGAGCTCTGTTCTTAGCTCTACTCTGTAACTTGGGTCACATTTGATTCGTCCTCTGGACCTCAGTCTCCCCATCTGTAGAATGGGGTAGGAGAAAGGGGTTGAATGATCAGGGGGCTAGGTCCAAACTCTCCCTGACGTTCTATGACCCCCTTTCTCTTCAGGGAGGCTGGAGAGTCTTGCCTTGGGCTTGCCTGCAGGGCCCGTTTGCTTGGCAAAAGGAAGAGGGTCAGGGCGGGGAGACTTTCTCTTGGGAATCGAGTTGGCCTCGTTGCTGCTCTGTCGTGGGCATGGGCTTCCCTGTCTGTGCTTGGTCTCACTCCTAGTCTTTGTTGTTGATCTATTTTTATCTCCTTGCATTGCTTTCACTTGGTTTTGCTGACCCTTGGGAGCTACAGGCAGTGAGGTTTTAAACACTTATTTCCCATTCGATTAAACTGCGGGCCGAGTTACCTTTAGTAGGAGAAACTAGTCTCTCTCCTCCCCTTTACCCTCTCTAACTTCTCCAAGTCCACCTTGTCTTTTACTTTCTATTTTTTTTTAAAGAGTGATTTATTCTACGTTTAGAGCTGGTGGTATGTTTGCAGGGTAGAATTGAAGTCAGTTGGTTCGGAGGCAGAGGCAGAGAGCAGGTGTTAATCCATCCGAGAGTTTCTCAAAGGCCACTGCTGGCCCCA